CCAAGGATCTGTCTTTGATATTGCTGCCTCCAGATGGTAGGCCCTAGGATGGGGGCATTGGTCTTTTGACTCTGCCCGGGTTCCGAGGAATGAAGGGCACGTATGCTATAGGCCCTATTGTACTGTATAAACACATTACTTCTTGGGGGGACATATTACATTTTTGAGAGACAGGCTGCAGAGGAAGAAAGAGCAAAGGAGAGACAGGGTCCTGTTCAAAGAGTACCTAGAGCAGTGAGGTCACAGAGCCGTGGACAGGCATGTGACACTGGCCACTGGGTCAGACTCCCGAGGAGGGAGGTAGAGTAGTGCAGTCCAGACTGGCAAATGTGGGCAAAGAGGATCTTTTCCTGGAAAGGCTTCATTCTTTCCTGTGCATGAAAATATGGGTTCCAGGCTACCTGTTCCCAGTGGTCCCCACAGCAACGGAACTTCTCGATCGTTTCAATTCATTCCTGCTGCTCCATCAAAACACCAAGACTACACCGTTCATGAGTGACTGAGATTTACTTCTCACAGTTCTGGAGGCTTGGAAGCCCACAAGGCGCCAGCAGGTTTGGTGTTTGATCTCTTCCTCAAAGTTGGTATCTTCCAGGTATACAGACATTGCGGGAGAGACGGAAGGGCCTAACTAGTTCTCTGTAAGCCCCTTCATAAGAGTACTAGGCCCATTCACATGCAATGACTTATGTCCCTCTTGAAAGATCCACTTTTGATACTGTCAAGCTTGTTTCTTAGGTTCCAGTTGATTGGATCGCTGGGGACATACACATCCAAACCGTAGCAGGAGTCATTCCTGATGTGCCACTCTACTCCTTCACCTTCACCAGGACACAGTAGAAGGAGACTGTGCCTGCTTGCTTGGCTTTTAAATGAGAGCTGAACTCAGATCACAGGAGCTTCAGGTAGAAGGCTAGGCTCACAACAGAGACAAAAGATGAGGTCAGGGCAAGGCTGGTGGAGAGGATGCAGTTGTTATCAGCAGGGACTGCGGTTGAGACACGGGCAGGGAAAGTGGTCTCCCAGTGGAGCACGGTCTTACCCTGGACCTTACAGACTTAGGCCTACACCTCCAGCCACAGCTGGTGCCTTGATCTCTGGTCTGCTTCATCGCTGGTCATTAAGTAGGATGTGCCCAGTGCTGGCCACAGCTTGAAAGTCAGTAGAGAGATCAAAGGCAATGAAGCAAAATGAACATTAACTGCAAGACAAGAGTCATCTTGGCCAGGACAAAGGAGAACTTTGCATTTGGGCAGAAAGGCTGGTCATGGGGTTTCCTCCCTAAATTTAACAAACAATGAATATTCTTGTGCAAGGATCCGGAAGTTCTCAGGCATCAGTCTCAGGAACTTCCCAGTCTCTTCCCTTTCATTTTCCATCTTAATTCTGACACAAGCCAATGTGAGGGAAGCCAACCAATATTCCCCCTTTACAGGAAGGGAAAGCTCTGAGTAGTGCTGCACTGCTGCAGGTTGCTTTGTAAACGCGTCATACTCTTACAAGGTTCTGGGTGCTCTGGACTGCTTCTCCAGGTGCTCTCTAGGTTCTTCTCATCCTGAACAAAGATTTGGTTAAAACAAATGGCAAAGGGAGTGAGATTATATATACACTAAAGCTATTACATGTGGGGGAAGAAATGTAATCTGCAGAGTGAGTGTGGGCTGATTAAAAGTAAGAAAAGAAATACACGCGCTGCAGAGCAAAAGCCGGCAACTGGGAGTGAGGATCGGGGGGAGTTAGGCGGGGAGGATGGGAGTAGGGGGAGAAAACAGCAACCTTAAGTTTAATGATCGCTGCCTTGTGTGTCCCCCACCCCTCAGGTGACATCAGATGAAGGCAAGCCTATAAAAAAAAAAAAAAAACTCCTTGATTTCTCACCAAAAGAATTAAAGATGACTTTTTTTTTTTTTTTTT